AGCGGCTCTACTCTGAGTCCCTCGTGGATGACCGAGCTTCTCACCCTATCCCTAAGGGAGACGCCGGCCACCCTCCTGAGGAAACCCATTTCGGCCGCTTGTACCCGCGATCTCGTTCTTTCGGTCATGACCATAGGTGAGAGTAGGAGCAAAGATTGTCTGGTAGATCGAGAGCTTCGCCTTCTCATTCGTGAACAAAACCCAGAGGTACTTGAACTCCTTCACTTGGGGTAAGGACTCACTCCCTACCCGGAGTAGACAATCCACCGGTTTCCTGCTGAGAACCATGGCCTCCCGATTTAAGGGTGCTGATCCTCATCCCAGCTGCTTGACATTCAGCTGCGAAGATCCAGTGAGTGCTGAAGGTCACAGTCCGATGATGCCATCAGGACCACATCATCAAACGATGCAATCCTCAGCCCACCAAACTGCAACCCCCCTTTCAGTTGTTATGAAGGTGGTGATCTGAATGAGACATTGTCGTCATTTTGTGCAGATTTTTATCAGAAATATAATGTGCAGTAATAAAAACTAAACATTTTGTCAGTTAAAACACCATATGTGTCAATTTATGAAAGCTTCTTGTCCTATAGCATTTATTTCCTTGTGACTGAAATACGGCGTCTTTGTTGATGTCTGAATAGGCTTGCTTTGTTGCTGCATGAAAGGTTCCTTTTAGTCTGTCTGCTGGGTTTGTTTTCTTTTCTTATGTCTTTAGACATTTGTCATATACACCTGAAACAATATTCCTTTTAAAGCTGTCAGCAGTGTATCAGGTACAAGAGCTTCAAACATGATCTAAATGAGCTCGAGTGAACTGTCAACTGTGCACCTTCTGCACAGCTGTTTACATTATGTTTGTGAATAAAACCAGTGTCTTATACCTGCATTTTAATTCTAACATGTTATAAAAGGAAAATTAACTCAGCTTCCTTTGTCAATGTGTTTTCAGTTTTGTTGTGTTAACAGCCATGCACAGAGACGCTAATTGTTAGCTGTTTAGCTGTATCCACCTCCATTCCAATGTTTGCGCATCTATTTGGTCATTTATCAGCGGCTGCGTGCCCTCTCCAGTCACCTCTCCAGCTCCTCGACACTCATACATCATTCCCCTCACAAGCCAAACCAACCCCCTGAGCACCCGGATAACAAAACTCACTTACTCCCAAAGGCAATTCATCCCCCACTGACCCACTTGTTTTTACAATCTGACAAGTGTGATTTAAGAACTGCGGTAGGCCAGGAGTGCAGCGGCCATGTCTGGCTGCACTTACCTGCCCCAGGAGCTTAAAGTTCAGCGACATCTCCACTTTGATACTTTTTACTCCCCTGTCATTAAACTAAGATAAATCGATGAATTTACATACCTTGCCCAAAGGTTTCAGTGTACTCTAGATAACTTTTTTCTTTCTTGATAAATCGTTCTGCTTGCGGTGTCAACATTATACAGAGAGGAAGCCACTGAGCACAACCAATGCATAATGCATGTGTTGAGCATGACTCAATACACATAGCAAAACCACATCCATACCCACACAGTTGGTCATAAATAAACAGACCCCTGCCTTACCTCATTTGAAAAAGATGCTATATTTTCTATCTTCTCTGCTCTTCTGTGAATGTCACGTCTGTAAGACTGTAAATTAAAGTGTGCGGGCATATGCACTGCTCACAGGCTTCAGTTTATAAAAAGTTGCTGAAAGGAAATTCATTTAGCATTGGCGAAAATGGGTAATGCTAATACATTTCAAAGAATTAGAACTGGATTATTCACTGACATGTTAATGTGGCTCTCTGCAGCCATTATGGCCGTGCCACAATGGTGGACTGTGGGAGGCCCTTAACTAATGTTTTTTGTCCAAAAGAAGATGCCACCCCCTCTTTTTAATCCATTGACTATGCCAGTTTCCCAGTGTGCCTTAAGGTTTCTCAACCACAGTGACAAAAAGGAGTGAAGTATTTTACAGAAATGTTGCCCTCTACTGCACTGTAACTAGACAGTCATTTCTGTGCTACTATGATGCAAGATTGATACTAATGACTGTAGTGACATACTGAAACTTATATGTGTGCTTAAACTTTTTATATTTCATATTTTCCAGTTTCTAGTTCTAGTTTAATTTTTGCTTAGATTGAACTGACAATAACATCTAGTACAACCACGCATTTTACCCTGTGAAATGGATAGTATACTGGCTGATCTTAAATTGTATCTGCATCAAATGCAGCAACATAAACCAACTTTATCATCACATGCTGTAATTTACACACAATTGGCATCAGCCATAAGTACTTCGATCCACTTACAGGAATATTGGTTTGTCTCATCTCGATTGTGTTCTGGATAGTTTACTAGCCGAGCAGCTAAAAGCAACATCAACATTATTTGGCATTTTCATTGTTTTATTTACTTCTGACACATAACAGTATAAATGTTTTTGTGTTTATTTATGCTGTACTTTATCTTGTCCTGGCACATGTCTGTGAACCGGTCCCCCTAATGTAAGTCTGAGCTTGAGAAAAGTGGCACAGAAGGTATATCATCTTGTCACACTGACAATTATGCAACATGAAAAACAAGGAGTACATTCATTACAAACTTCATGTTAAAATTAGTGTAGCATTACTGCCTATCTTGTCAGCTCAGCTAACAGCATTTTCTCCATTCACTGCCTCTCCTGTCATGGCCCCCAATGTTATCAGACTTCCGACTCGGAGTTCGTCTAAGTGGAGAACAAATCTACATAATACAGATCAAGGGCAAACTACAGTAAGCTGAGCCAGTCACTCACGATAAGAATCACTTCTCAGACACAAGATCCCCATCAGCAGGCAGTTTTTTCCGCTTTACTGTTTTGTTCTCTGTACTGTGATCAGCTTCTGATGATTAAGGTGGAGGTGAGCAGTCAGTTTCCACAATCTGGAGATAACGCCGCTCTGATTTGCATAGATATGCAAATGCCCCGGGTTACAGTTGAGTTGTTGAGACCGCTGATATCAATTGGTGTCTGTGTGTGTGTTTGCGTGTGTGCTCCCTCCCCTTGTGCTACCTGCTACAGTATCTAGGTCATTGTTTTTGCTGCTTGTGTTCCTTGTCTGATGGATATGTACTGTATTCAAAGCCAGATGCTTATGCAGCCTGGGCCATGTTATTTATGATGCTACAGGCAGTTTGTGTTATGTTATGTTATGTCATACAGGGTTTACAGTCAGGGGTTACATTAGCCTTTGTCACAGACTGATGTACTTTTATGTAGCAACTGCATATTTTCTGCTGTTTATAAGTTATGTTTTCCCTAAGCTACTGATTTGTGTTTTGTGTCGAACATATAAATCTAGCAGTGATACTCAATAAGTAAACTAGGAAAATAATCTGAGGCTTTTTTTCCTCGGCTCCAAAAGTAGATTTCTTTTTTGTTTGAGTTTGCTGGCAACAAGCAAATAATTTTCTAAACTCTGACTGCACTGAGGAAACAATTTGGTTTGCAAAAGGTACTGTAACAATAACTGTGATGAAATCTTCAATGTGACACGTTTTCTTCATCTTTTTATCCTCCTCTTCTCCCTCTCCTCTTCTCCCTCTCCTCTTCTGCCCAGTGTCCTCACCCGGCCCTAACATCACACTGGACGGCCAGTACCACTGTCACCAGGGGCCTGGGATCCCACTGGACAAACTATGCGACTTCAACACAGACTGTCCACTCGGCGATGACGAAGGCGACCTATGTCGTGAGTACAATGTGATACAGAAGCACATCTGTTGATAAGAATATGCGAGATGAAATTTACTTATGTGTCAGCCAACCTCCCTGCATTTGTTTCTGAAAAATGGCCGACTTGTGCAGTTGGTCAGCCGTAGTGAGTCGTCTTTAATGAAGCCGTTGCATCCAGCCCAGCAGAGCAACAACTCAGCGTCTGCATGAGCTTTCCTGAAAGAGTGGTGAGGGGAAAGGCAGAAAAAAAAAAGACAGCGTAGCTATGCTTGGCTAGCATTTCTCACCCTTGACATATTCCATGGTTGTTATTTCTATCTCTTTGCACATTTGTTTTCTGCTTTTCCCGAGGCCTAGGAGGCACACTCGCCAAGTATGCTGACATCTTATTCACAAGTAAAGTCCCCCAGGCCCTGCTGTTTTTGTGTGGGTGTGTGTGTGT